ACTAAGCTTCTTTTTAATTAGTTTAACAAAACTCAAATTGAATTCAGCTGGACACACTTTCCTGTTTATCCCAACAAATGGCCAAGCAAAGCGCACAACACTGACAAGGTACGCGAACAATTGCGTCCTTATTGCTTTATTAAAAATGAACAAGCTGAAAGCACTCTTCCTGAAAATCTTTTATTGCTTTTCTGTAGCATTAAGCCTCAAATGTCATCTATACATTGGTTTGGTTTCTTTAAATAAAAAATGTAAATGTGCGTGGTATTATTAATGCTATACTAAATCTAAAAGTAAAACCATGGAAAAAAAACCTTAAGATAACCTGTAGCACAGAATAATGTAAGTGTTTGTTTTGTTTTGTAATTGCGCCTTTGAACAATTACATAATCGTGGCATCCGTAATTGTAATCACAGTTAGACATTCGATTCATTGTTAGGGCTGTGCCTATCGCGATTTCTTTGATCAATTGTGCGATTTCGATTTTAATCACGATTTTGACACACAAAGACATGCTTTACAGTCATTAATGCATTCAGTGTGAATTTGAAACATATTTCCAAAAGATAACCAATTAGAGCTTTATCAAAAAGCTGTAACATGTCTCTAGAATAGACATGAGGCAAAATAATCACTAAGTAAAGGTGTAACAAAATGTCTCGTTTTTGCCTATGCATGTTCATTCATGGTTTTTTATTTAATTAATTTTTTTAATTAAGTCCCGATGTCCTCTACAAAGGACGTAGCATAACTTATGAATGAAATACTATTTTATTTTATTTTATTTTTTACATTTTTTTTAATGCTCTAAACATGTAATGACATGAAAAAATACGAATTTTTTCCTAAAATGTTTTGCTTAAGAGGTTAAGACATTTTACTCAAAATTAAATTATGGGGAAAAAATGGTATTGCTGCTCATAAGCTTTACACGAAAACATAGCCAGGTTAAATTTAACCCCTAAAGTCTGCATAAAACATTTATTTTAAATGCATGTTATTAAACGTATTGTGAATAATTCATCATTGCATATGGTTCATTTTTTTTTTTTTTTGACCATGTGATTTTTAATCAAACAGTCTTTATTCGAGATCTTCATATGCTCACATTCATCTGCCTCATTTTTTAAATACCACACCCACAGGGCTGCACGATTATGACAAAAATCATAATTGTCGATTATTCCCTTGAAATTGTAATTGCGATTAATCACATTTGATTAAGAAATACTTGCATGAGAATATAATATATGAGAATTTTAAAATTGTATTCTGTCAAGTGTCCTTTTAAATGTATCAGCAAAAATGTTGGTGGGTGTTTATAACAAAGGCATAGTTGACCCAAAAGCTGATGTTTGATCAGATGAATTGCGCTTTCCTCCGCAGGAAGACTCGTGATGTTCTGAGCGTCTGTCAGGAGCAGTGTGACTCCATACTGAGCGACGTGAACGCTGCGCTGGAGCGTCTGGACTCTCTGCAGAAGCAGTACCTCTTTGTGTCCACAAAAACAGGAACGCTTCATGAGGCCTGTGAACAACTGCTGAAGGAGCAGGTCTGATGTTCCCTCTTAACCACATTATATACACTAGACTGGAGAAAAGTGCAGTTAATGTTTCTGAAAGAAGTCTCTTCTGCTCACTCAAGGTGACATTTATGATCAAAAATACTGTAAAATTGTGAAATATTATTACAATGTAAAAGAACTGTTTTCTGTGTGAATATCTGTTAAACTGTAATTTATTTCTGTGATGCAGCGCTGAATTTTCAGCATCATTACTGCAGTATTCAGTGTCACATGATCTTCAGAAATCATTCTAATATTCTGATTTGCTGCTCGAGAAACATTTCTGATTATTATCAATGTTGGAAACAGTTGTGCTGCGCAATATTTTTATGGAAACCATGATTCACTAACATTCAAAGGTTTGGGGAAAGTATTCAGTTTGGCCAAAAGTGACCATAAATACATTTATAATGTTACAGCAGATTTCTATTTCTAGTTCTTTTAATCTTTCTATTCATCTGTGAATGCTGACAAATCCAATGTGTCACAGTTTCCACATCATGTGACACTGAAGACTGGAGTAATGATGCTGAAAATTCAGCTTTGATCACAGAAATAAATTACAGTTTAACAGATATTCACATAGAAAACAGCTAGTTTAAATTCTAATAATATTTGACAATTTTTACTGTATAGTTGATCAAATAAATACATCCTTAGTGAGCAGAAGAGACGTCTTTTTTTTTTTAAACATAAAAAAAACAAAGTAAAATCATAGAAACTTTATTGTCATTATAATAATATAACGACATTGTTAGTGTATGTAATTAAAGGAGTGTTCATGTACATTGATGAATGATGTGTATTTGTCTTCTCTCTCTTGTGTTGACAGTCAGAGCTGGTGGATCTGGCTGAGAGCATCCAACAGAAACTCTCATATTTTAATGAACTGGAAAACATAAACACGGTGACGCTCTGCTGCTGTTTCCAGAATGTGTTGATCATGTGTTTATTGTCTGTTTATGCATCGGTTTGATCTCTCCTGTAGAAACTGAACTCCCCGACATTATCAGTGAACAGCGAGGGATTCATCCCGATGCTTTCCAAACTAGACGAATGCATAGAATACGTCTCATCACATGTAAGCCAAACGCTTGCTACAGTGTTGCAGTATTCTCCTCTTGTGTTCCAAATTAGAATCTCTCAATGTTTCACACATGCATATTCCTCATAATGGTTCTTTCTTTCTTTCTTTCTTTCAGCCACATTTTAAAGACTACCCAGTCTATCTGACCAAATTCAGGCAGTGTCTGTCCAGAGCCATGCTCCTCATCAAGAGCCACACGGTCAGCAGCCTGCAGAACCTCACGGCTCAGCTCACCAAAAGGGTGCGTTTAATAGAAACTAAAGCTTGCTGATGATTAGATCACAGACGATTGGATCATTTCCGGTTTGTTTATTGAATATGTCCCGAGCAGGACCCGCTGGGTGCTCCGAACGCAGACAACGCCTTCACGCTCTACTATGTGAAGTTCAGAGCAGCGGCTCCCAAAGTTCGAGTAAGACTTGTGTGCAAACACTCGTTTGACATCAGACCGGATTGTTTGATTTGGCTCTTCTATAAGTCTATTTTTATTTTTATGTGATTTTTTGTTTTGTTTCAGAGGCTCATTGAACAAGTTGAACAGCGGTCCAACAAAATCCCAGAGTGAGTGATTTATTTTTTGATAATTCTCATTTCTATGCACATGCATTCCATATTTAAAATTGTTTTTTTATCATATAACAACAAAATCAAAATCACAAATGTTGCCTTGGCAACTAGCTAAAATAAAGTATTTTTAATATTTTAATTAATTTTGGTTATTTTTAATTTCTTTATTTATTTTATTTTTTATTGATGGATTGATTGATACTTTATTGATCTTTTACAGGAAATTACATAATTCATAATTACATAATAATGGTTTTAATTTTAGTTTTAGTTAACTACTGTATAATAACCCTGTTCTGGATCTTCTTGTTTCCAAACTTGTCATGAAACTGGAGGTTAAAGACCGTTCACCCAGATATGAAAACTCTTTTCATTTACTGTTGTTTTATTCTGACCCAAAATTATTTTCTTTACTCCATGAAACACAGCATGTTTGACAGAATAATATTTATTTATTAGTTTATTTTTGTTTGTTTATTTATTTT